ATGGTCATGTAGGGGCCATCCTCGTTCAGCTGCTTCAGGACGGTCTTCTGCGACTTCGCGTCCAGCAGGTCGTCCCCGATCAGGATGCCCCTCGGCCTCGTCACTGGATGCCGCCGCTGCTGAGCTTCTGATGTGGCTGCCATGCCACCTGCGTAGAGCTCGAGATGATGGGCCGCTTCTCCTCCGGGTCCGCCTTCAGCGTGTCCACGATCTGCTGGCACTGGTCCAGCTTGTCCTGAATCTCTTTCTCCCACGTCTCGATCTGCTTCCTTTGCTTCCGCCGTAGGATGCCCTTGTCAGTCTCCTGGGCCTCCGCATTCCAGTTGTCGATCTCGTCGGACGTGACTGATGGCTCGATCTTTGTCGTCTCCTTCTTCGGCCACTCTTTGAGCGAGATCGTCAGGTGCCCCTTCTCCGTCTTGTTGAGAGGCACTCCGTACTTGTTGATCGCCTGAAAATCCGCCTTCCGATCCTTGATGTATATCACTGTGTCGAGCTCTTCCAGCTGGTGGATGCTCAGCAGTATTGGCGTCTTTGACTTCGGCAACCTCTGGAAGCGTAGGTTCACGTCAGCTCCAGCAAGTCCAGCCGTCACCTCTTGTTCTCCTTCTGCCATGACCGGGGCGCTATCATTCACGCCTCGGAAGCGCATGGATGCTCCTCTCATCCGCGTGGTGACTTTGCCGTCCTCTGTGTAGCCGTCCAGTGATATTGAACCTCCACATCCACGTAGGCACGCAGTGTCCAGTACAGCATGTCAATCTGGAATAGGTCCTTTTCGTACTGCGTAGGCTTCGATTTCTTCCAGCTCCTCGCACGGTTGCTGCCGCCCTGATGACGGTGTACGGTCGCCCTCTGGGACGTAGTCGGTTCCAGCTCGGTGTTGCGTCCACAGCCATGTCGGTCGTACTCCAATCGGTAGGCGCTCGCAGGTACTCCTCACGATGTCACGGAACTCCGAGGTCTTGCCCCAGGCTGCTTGGCAGAGATCGTAGGCCATATTCCTGAGGCCGTTTGGTGCCATCTCCATGGTGATGTGCATGAGCTGCTGGAAACGATGTAGGGCCCAGTCCAAGCAGAAATCCATGTAGTCCCTGAAGGCCGCTTCCATGTTCTCGCAGCTGACCCACAACGCTGCGATCTGCTCAGCACGATCTCTCGTATCTTCTGTCGGTCGGCCGCTGTGTTGTCTTCCTCCAGGTAGTCTGTGCTTGGTCTGCTGGGCTCCGTCCTTCCTGTCGACCACGACCCAGGTGTCGGGGTTCACGATCTGCTCCTCGGTGTCGATCCTCACCTTCGTCAGACTCGTGATCTCCTCCATCGCCACGTCTATGCTTGTCAGCTGGTCGCTGACAATCTGAATGGCGGTCATGTCCATCGAGCTGTCCGCCATTAGCAGCTTGACCGAGGTCGCCATTGCGAATCCAGCTCGTCGAAGAAAACTTCCAGGTCGTCCGTGAAAGCCTCGTCCTCCACGTCCGCCTCCTCGTCCTCCACGTTGTAGCGTACTGGATCCACTCGCTGGTGACCTCGTCTTCTCGCACTCGGGGTCACCCTTCCAGTTGCTCTTCTTGTGGCACGCGTTGCACTTCGTGCGCGCCTTGATCTGCTTCAGCTTATCCTCAGCCTCTTTGCTGTCCATCTTGATGGAGCCCTGCTTGTTGATGTTGGCTTTCCAGCCTCTATTCGACTTGCTCAGAGCAGGCCGCTCCCGGGCCTGCTTGTAGTTGGGCTTGTGGTTGCGCCGTCCAGCTTTCCAGCCAAGGCGTTGAGCCTCCGTCGCCAGGGTGTCGCACTCCTCCTGGCTGATCTCGTCCGGGTCCACGTCATCAATCACTCCCTCGAACTCGTCGATGTCCGCTGCAAGTGCGTCGTAGTCCGCATCACTCAGGAAAACGTCCTCGTCGCACGGTGCACATTCGTTTCCGAGTAGAGCATCTTCTTCTTCGTCGTCGTAGTCCACCGGGTAGGCTCCGTATCGTCCATGTCCACGATCATCTCGGCCTGTGCTGTCCAGCTGTATCAGCATGGCTGCCGTCACGTCGTCCCAGATGTACTCGTTGTTGCATTGGCCAAGGATTGCCTTGTGCTCTTGCATGCTGATGTTTGCTAGCTTTTGTAGAAAGTATGTCCGTAGGTCTTCGCTGACTGTCGTGTTCGTTGAAAGTGACTTGAGCCGCTCGTACTCCGTCTCTCGCCTCGATATGTAGTCCTGCACAGAGTCCGTTCGATTGCGAAAACCTCGGAAGAAATACTCCTCGAACGCTTGCTGCATCTGTAGTGGTGCGATTCTCTTGCACGCCTGTCGTACTGTAGTTACCACCAGTTTGACTGCAGCAAGTGGGTCATTACCTGCTTCGTCCAAGACTGCTTGCGTACTGATCTCAGCCTTCTTACGTGTGAGTGTCCACGCTCGTCCATTTAGAGAATTCTTGAGCTTGATCGCGTAGAGCTTCTTGATTTTCTCTTCGCTCGCGTGGTAGCCGAGTATTGCACGCTCCTCGAACTCCTCGCCGTAGGAAGGGTCTCCGTTGCAGTGTACCACGCCCTCCTTGTCAACGAAGAGGGGCCCGCCATTGAACTGCTGCTGCTGCTGCCTGGACGTCATCTTGATGATTGTGATGCTACTGAGCTTGTTACCGATGTAGTAGCTGTCTTGATCGTTGCTGCTGTAGTTCGGCTGCTCGCCCGGGATGCTGTTGATGCAACCATCCTCGTCCAAGCTGTTGTAGGTAATGATCTTGAGCGTCTTGTCGATCGACTTGATCTGTTGAGCGCAGTGGTTAAGGACCGCGAAGAGGTAAGTGAGCGCCAGCATGTATGTCTGCACGGCCACTCTGTCTGAAATCCTCGCGCCGCGGACTGATTCAGTTTCGCTACCAGTGTAAATATTGATCCAAATCTCTCCGCCCACAACCTCTTGATGCAAGAAGAAATAGATAGAGTATGATCTGATATGAGACCGAATCAAACTAGACAGTCGTTGAGTGCGTCCACCCTCCCGCCACAGCTGGCGGGTCCACAGCCAAAACGGCCACGGTGAACAAGAGAGTGCAAGCATGAGCGAGTGAGAGCAGCAACAGAGATACTTCTAATCATCATCCTATATCTCACATCCTTGCTAATACACCTTTCACAGGAAGTATCCTGGCGCGGGCCAGGATATTTCCTTATATTTCATGGCGCCTCTTTTTGTTTCATTACGTCCCTGGCCGCTCCCCCTGGGTCGCGCACGTGCCGCCGGCTATAATTTGCGCCCCCCCTCGTGGACACCGCCCTCTTGGCCGCCCCCGAAACCCGCAATTCACCAAGCGCGCTCCACATCTCGCAAAACGCCTACTTACAAACGTTCGAAACCTAGATGTTTGCTTCGATGAGGTTTGTCGCAGATCCCCCGCGGCGGATCCAGGCCATTTGCGAGTAGTTCCTTTGCGAGTAGTGGAACTCGCTCGTCTAACAACCGCCAGTCAGAGCACGAGGCGGCGACGAAGCGGCGGCGAGGCGACGGGTCAGAACACGATGCGGCGACGAGGCGGCCACTGGTCGTCGTCGTCGTCGTCGTCGTCATCGTCGTCGTCGCGGCGGCGGCGATGGCGGCGACGGGAACCTTCAGCTAATCATTCAACGCCAAAGCACTCTTTGGGGATCGCTGTGTTTTGGTCTCCAGAGTGTCTATCGGAGAGTGCCTTCAGGGGTGTCTGGGAGTTTCAGGTACGCCCCTCGGGGTCTCTTCGGCGCCTCTTGGGAGCGGTTGGGTGCCTCTTGAGGTAACGATGTTGGGCCATCTTAGCGGCCTTGCTGGCCTTCCCCGGCCGTCGTGGAGGCCTCGGGGAGCGCTTTGGAGATCGCCAGGGGGACGTCGTGCCGCCCAAGAGGCCCAGGGAAGTGCTGGAAGAGGAGGGGGGTCCCTTAGAGGATTGCAGGAACATTGCCAGGTAGCGCTTGGCATTGTGATCGTTTTCTCTTTCATTGTTTTGCCGATCGGCGCGGGTCTTCGCCCCCCCTCTCCACTCCCCCATGGAGTAGATCTTGTCCGTTTTTGGCGCTTGTTTTGGGCAGGTGGAGCCTCCCCCACAGGACGCACTGTTGCAAATCGTCGCATAAAACATAGGTCCAGAGCCAGACCCCTCCCCCTTCCGCCTAATGTCGAAACGCCGAATGAGAAAACGCTGACCTGGCATTCCACCACTCTTCAACTTGCTCCTGGCACGTTGACATCAGCGCAACAGCCATGCACCTTGCTGCTGTCCACAAAAGTGCGCCAATGTATGGTCCTGCCGATGCTTTGTGGGAGCTCGGCGGAACCATCCAGTATGGGTTTTCTTCGATGCTGCGCTGGCACGGTATCGGCGTTTGCCGCAGGCTGCTGGTAAGTCCTCGGGTGTCGCTAGTTAAGCGATGATGCACCTTATTAGCCAGTGTGATAGTTATCAGCAGGTCAACATCTTTAGACATGGGCGCTTAGGGATGATGCCCCAGCATTGATGTTGACCTGGGACTGGGGCAGACCACCTTTGAGTTCTCGGCTCTTGCGGCCTACAGTCTCGAGCAGTAATCATTAACAACGTGGTTATCTCGAGCCTTACAGGTGCCGCGACGCCCGCGAATTCACGAGCTTTGTTTCTCCATGAGCCTTACAAGCGTATCTTTTTCCCCTCCCTCCCTCTGGTTCTCCCCATCCGTCTCTCCCTCCCTCCCTCCCTCCCTTCCTCCCTCCCTCCCTCCCTTCACTCTCTGCCCTTTTTGTCTCCCTCCAGTATCTTCCGCCCTTCCTGTGTCTCCCCTGATTCCTCCCTGCCTCCTCTTTCCCCCTTCCCTCCCTGCCCTCCTTTCTTGCCCTCCCCGCTTCAACCTCCCGGCCCTCCCTCCTCACCCCCCCGACGAGAGACCGATGACGACTGCGGCGGCGGCGACGAGGTTGGCGACGCGGGCGAGGGCGACGACGACGACAGTGCACGGGCCGCCCGAGGGCCGACCCACCCGCGCGGCCGCCCCGCCAGGCGGCTGCTCCTCCGAGGGCGGGCCGCTCGGCGGTGGCGCCCAGGGGCGGCTCTCCCGCCGCGGCAGGGCAG